GTTCAAGGAGACTAAAGTTTGTTTGACCAATCAGACACTTGAGTCGGGTTCTGATGACACTAGCCATGAGTGCAGGGACTGGCCAGCGGGTGCTGCACGCCTGTATACCCTGCAAGGAATATGAAGGTAACTGCACACACAGGAGAGTTCAAGGACACTAAAGTTTGTTTGACCAATCAGACACTTGAGTCGGGTTCTGATGACACTAGCCATGAGTGCAGGGACTGGCCAGCGGGTGCTGCAGAATCAGATTCATGACAGTTCTCACCTAGGGGATCTGATCATCGATACAGATGCCTCTGTGTTGAGAGGCAGGCGAAGCTCTCAGCAAAAGTGAATGGATGTCGCTTGGTGCAACAAAGCCTGGCATATGAATGGATGTCGCTTGGTGCAATAAAGCCTGGCATATGAATGGATGTCGCTTGGTGCAACAAAGCCTGGCATATGAATGGATGTCGCTTGGTGCAATAAAGACTGGCATATGAATGGATGTAGCTTGGTGCAATAAAGCCTGGCATATGAATGGATGTCGCTTGGTGCAATAAAGACTGGCATATGAATGGATGTAGCTTGGTGCAATAAAGCCTGGCATATGAATGGATGTAGCTTGGTGCAATAAAGCCTGGCATATGAATGGATGTCGCTTGGTGCAATAAAGCCTGGCATATGAATGGATGTCGCTTGGTGCAATAAAGCCTGGCATATGAATGGATGTCGCTTGGTGCAACAAAGCCTGGCATATGAATGGATGTCGCTTGGTGCAATAAAGACTGGCATATGAATGGATGTAGCTTGGTGCAATAAAGCCTGGCATATGAATGGATGTCGCTTGGTGCAACAAAGCCTGGCATATGAATGGATGTCGCTTGGTGCAATAAAGCCTGGCATATGAATGGATGTCGCTTGGTGCAATAAAGCCTGGCATATGAATGGATGTCGCTTGGTGCAATAAAGCCTGGCATATGAATGGATGTCGCTTGGTGCAACAAAGCCTGGCATATGAATGGATGTCGCTTGGTGCAACAAAGCCTGGCATATGAATGGATGTCGCTTGGTGCAACAAAGCCTGGCATATGAATGGATGTCGCTTGGTGCAATAAAGCCTGGCATATGCTACCACATCTAGTTTGAGAATGGAGGTGGGGGCAGTCACTGCAGCCATTTGCTAGCTTGAGAATCAGCTGTATACACGTCGTAATTGTAATCATCTCACAGAGCATATTGAGAAAGGTGGAGACGGTATGCTTCTTGAAGAGTGGCAAGCATCGCTTCAGAGATCCTAGGTAGTTATCATCCTTTGGATATTTCCCCCAGGAAATGCAGCTGTACTAGAAAATGAACAGGCAGCTAGAATGGCTGGTTTTGCACTACTTGGTGGTGATTTAGCAAGCTAGATGTTGTAATTGCCCTTTGGGGGCGAGTGAATAGTGCTGAAGCACAGATGGGTCATCATGATCTGAAGATAATCCTACTGCAAGGTGGGACCAGGGGATCTGGTCGATGATCAGCACTCAAGGGAAAGACGGACATACAATCAGACAGCTGTTGGCACCATTGGAATTGGAACTCTGTGCTTGTTGCTGAAAATGGGGACGGAGCGCTTATGGAAATGTCCCAACTGCTGTGATGTCGTTTCTTAATTAAACATTAAACATAAGAGATACAGCCAGGGTTATTTCTTACTGTTGTTGTTCCTGCCACTTCTTTAATTCTTGTTCTTGTAACTCTTGCCATTTAAAAATTGTATTTCTCGTTTCCAGGAAGCGGTATGGTTCTTGTCAAACATCACAGCTGGCAACCAGCTGCAGGTACAAGCTGTGATTGACGCAGGCCTTATCCCTCTTATTATCCATCATCTCAATCGGGTATGTATCTGCCATTCACTTGTCAGTTGTGTAGTGTACTATGAGTGCAGAACAAGCGTCTCTGTGACAGATCTGGCTTTTAGTGGGATGCAGAAGATACTCGTCAATAAAAAGCTGTCAGTTGCAGTCAAAAAAGTAGTCTGTGGGTTGCAGTCAGAAAAGTAGTCTGTGGGTTGCAGTCAAAAAAGTAGTCTGTGGGTTGCAGTCAAAAAAGTAGTCTGTCGTTTGCAGTCAAAAAAGTAGTCTGTCGGTTGCAGTAAAAAAAGTAGTCTGTCGGTTGCAGTCAAAAAAGTAGTCTGTCGGTTGCAGTCAAAAAAGGTAGTCTGTCGGTTGCTGTCAAAAAAGTAGTCTGTTGGTTGCTGTCAAAAAAGTAGTCTGTCGGTTGCTGTCAAAAAAGTAGTCTGTCGGTTGCAGTAAAAAAAGTAGTCTGTTGGTTGCTGTCAAAAAAGTAGTCTGTTGGTTGCTGTCAAAAAAGTAGTCTGTCGGTTGCAGTCACAAAAGTAGTCTGTTGGTTGCAGTCAAAAAAGTAGTCTGTCGCTTGCAGTCTAAAAAGTAGTAAAGTGCTGTATAAAATCTGTGTTGTTATATGCATGTGGGACCTGGAGTAGGAAAGTTGGAGGGGAGGAGAGGCAGAGGGAAGCTGAGAGAAAAGATGCTGAACAGTCTGGCATCATGGCATGGAAGATCATCTGTGTCAGAGTTGAGTGAAAGTACACAAAACAGAAGGTTGTGGATAGACATGACTACCAAGGCCACTCGGCATGGACTTTAAGAAGTAGGGACCTGGACAATAATGAAACATGCTTGAGAAACAATTTACTGGCACTGATGATGTGCTTTTTGAGATGGGTGCAAAGAATATTATGCAATGACAGAAAAACACCATAGGCACTCCTCCTTCTCGAGAGAGAGATGAAAACCATTTACTGATTAGAGAAATGAGACGTAACCAGTTTTCCTCTTTAACCACTATAATAAGGGTTGAATGCGAGGGGCCATGCCTGTTATGACTTTCTATTAATCATTGAACTGATAGTTCTCTTCATCAGGGTGTAAGATCTGGCTGGGGGATTTTTGGCTAGAATGAAGGGAAAGATCGTAGGGCAATAAATTGCTTTTCTATCAACAGCTTGGAGCATGAGGATGGAGGTGGAGGCAGTCACTGCAGCTCTAATGGGGATTGCAGAAAATAAAGTTGCCAGAGGGATTATTGCGTTTTGCATTCTCATTCGGTACTGGGGGAGGTTCAGAATTGGGGTGGACACCAAGCATCAGCACATTGACATTGCCTGGAAATACTGTCTGGAGTGCGAGGGAATGAAAGAGCCGCTTGTCTGGCTACAAAAGCCATAGCAGACTGGTCAAGGCAGACATTCTGAAGACCATATATGAAGGAATATTGATAGAAGATGCGAGGTTAGATGAAACAACATGGGCAAGAATGTGTGAATGAAGAATTGGGAGTGGATCAGGCAAGGACGGCTGTTTGAGAGCAAGAGACTTCTATATAATCAGTGTGCTACGGGAACAGTGAGGTTCTAGCCTTAAGACATTTGCTAAGAGGGAAGCATCTCTGAGTATGTCCGATGTGCTCATCACCATCATTATGTGCCAACTGGCGTAGGTGCTCATGCGTCTCCACAGAACTCTTGATGATATCTCTCCATGCCATCGTTTCAGCCCATCCAGCATCATCTCTCTTGGTCTGCCTCTACCTACAGTTGTATATAGAGATTTACTTTCATTAGCTTCTTTCAAGCAATCGTTGTTAGTTACTCTGGCCGTCCAAGGTATTCACAACATTTGTCTCAGAAACCACATCTCTCTTGCTTCCAAATTCTTCCTAATTTGTTCAGTGACATTCCAAGATTTGCTGCCATACGGCAGAACAGGTTCTGTGTAACATTTTAGCCCACCCTCTTTCTGACATTAAACCGATGTTCTATGATGTCTGTTCTCTGTCTGTCTGTAATCATTATTGATAACTGACTGGTTGTAACCTCTACCGAATATTTTCTAATCCAAGGGAGACTTCCAGACACAGAAGGAAGCAGCATGGGCGGTGAGTAACCTGACCATCAGCGGCAAGAAGGAACAGGTGGCTTACGTGGTGGAGATGGGCGTGATCCCACCCTTCTGCAATCTTCTGTCGGTGAAGGACCCCCAGGTGGTCAGTGTGGTTCTCGATGGAATCAACAACATCTTGAAGATGGCTGGCGATGACGTGGATCAGATTTGTCAGATCATTGAGGAGTGTGGAGGTTAGTGTTAGTTCCTTTTATATTCTATGAAGTGGTGCTGTTGCTTGCAGTAACCAGAGCACACATGGAGGGGGTATTTTTCAATGTTTGGTCTAAAGGAAGTTTTAGTGATTACTGCTCTACAGTTCTGTGTTTTTACAGATTTTCCCATAAGCCTCACTGATAGAGGTCAGGGGTTCACAGCATGAGATGCCAAATGGGTTTAGTTTTAAAGGCCCCGGCGGATGTATCCTATTCAGTGCTTCACCGTAAAGGTAAAGTCAGGAGATGTGAACCAGGGTCAATGCACACGGTTAAAAATCTTAAGTGCTCTGCCACCAGTATGAACAGCTAATAAGAAATTGTCTGCCTGGGTTGCCATCCGCAGGTAACTCTGTAGCTACAGCGACGTTCCTCCATTTACTCCAGTGTCAACCCTGTTACCCATTTCCTAGAGGCTGGGTAAACCACAGAAACCACCCAGTTTCGAACATCTGCAGTGGGTCGCAGCTGGATTTGAAAGCGAGTCTCCTATTGACTGCGCTAATGCAGCCCTTATGTTATTGTTTATTAATTTTTTAAATTTATATATTTCGGGAAAATTAAATGTCGATAGATATATTTTTTAATGAAGTTATTAGTGATCTGTATTTTAAAAAAATGTTTCTAAGGATTTTAATTTGGCATTCTCAAGGGGTCACATTCATTTGTTTTTAAAGTGTTCTTGGGCTGAGAAGATTTGTGGTGATAATCTAATTGAAGTTTGTGTTGCGTATATATTATTCTGTCGCCTATACATTATTTAAATTTAAATTTCCACCTGTTACAAATCCTTGAGAAACTGCCTACCCGGCATTGCTACTTTGGCCTGTGCCTGATATGTCTAGTTAATGACTTTGGTTCTGTTTGCACCTGCGCAGTGTTTAGGAGGCCCAGATGTGATTGTGCCTATTAAAAATTGCATCGCGGGGGAGGGGGGGATGATGATTTTTGTCATATTTTACTTTTATAGCCATTAGTAAACAGGGTCGGGGTCACTGAGAGTGACTATGATTTTTTTTTTCTTTTTAAATTTAGTTGTGACTTAATTTTTAAATGGTTTTTCTATAGGCAATAAGTTTTGGGGATATCTATTTAAAGGATTATACTACTTCTTTTCGCGGCTGGTCTGCTTTTTCAATGGTCTGCATTCTTTTCAAATCTGCCGGCTGTAGTAAGTCTCCACACCTGTAGTAAGTCTCCACACCTGTAGTAAGTCTCCACACCTGTAGTAAGTCTCCACACCTGTAGTAAGTCTTGACACCTGTAGTAAGTCTCCACACCTGTAGTAAGTCTCCACACCTGTAGTAAGTCTCCACACCTGTAGTAAGTCTCCACACCTGTAGTAAGTCTCCACACCTGTAGTAAGTCTCCACACCTGTACACACCTGTAGTAAGTCTCCACACCTGTAGTAAGTCTCCACACCTGTAGTAAGTCTCGACACCTGTAGTAAGTCTCCACACCTGTAGTAAGTCTCCACACCTGTAGTAAGTCTCCACACCTGTAGTAAGTCTCCACACCTGTAGTAAGTCTCCACACCTGTAGTAAGTCTTGACACCTGTAGTAAGTCTTGACACCTGTAGTAAGTCTCCACACCTGTAGTAAGTCTCCACACCTGTAGTAAGTCTCCACACCTGTAGTAAGTTTTTGCCAGATACAAGTAGAGAATGATTTTGTGGTGTTTTCAGGACTGGACAAAATCGAGGGACTCCAGAATCATGAAAATGAAGAAATCTACAAACTGGCGTATGAAATTATCGACACATACTTTAATGATGAGGTGAGCATTGACAAATGTTTGTCAGTTTTAATATTGCATGACCTTGTTGTATTACTTTTGTCTTAATGTTGCATCAACCTGATTAATTTAAATGTTGTGTCACTTCTGAGTTATATTCTTTTTCTTCATGTTCACCAGCTGTAAACTCTGGGAAAGTTCTCATTGATCACCCACTTCTAGACTTTAAGTCATGTTTCAGAACTTGAGTTTTGCATGTAAATCCATTTTACAGATCTGCTTATTTGTATGCAGACTGTTGGTTCCTTGCTTGTCAGGCAGATGCACTCCGACTTTGAAGGAAACACCCCTGATTAGTTGACTCTTAGGACATGCATTGGGAAGGGGGGTCCTACTCTACAGTAGGGCCCCGAAGCCCATATTAGAGTATGTTGTATTACCTCTGGTAGTTTTTGAATGTCAATAGTTTTTGAATGTCAAAGTGACTGTTAGTTTTTGAATGTCAAAGTAACTGCTAGTTTTTAATGTCGAAGTAACTTAGTTTTTAAATGTCAAAGTAACTTTTAGTTTTTAAATGTCGAAGTAACTTTTAGTTTTTAAATGTTGAAGTAACTTTTAGTTTTTAAATATCGAAGTAACTTTTGGTTTTTAAATGTTGAAGTAACTTTTAGTTTTTAAATGTCGAAGTAACTTTTAGTTTTTAAATGTCGAAGTAACTTTTAGTTTTTTAATGTCGAAGTAACTTTTAGTTTTTAAATGTCGAAGTAACTTTTAGTTTTTAAATGTCGAAGTAACTTTTAGTTTTTAAATGTCGAAGTAACTTTTAGTTTTAATGTTATTCTGTGTTGACCTGATAAGAAGTAACCTGGGATAAAAGAAATAGTTTTAAACATAAATTCCTCATATCCTGATGAGAGCTCAAGCAAGAAGAATTGCCAGGGATAAACAAATTGTTCTTCATAACAGAAATTTACCACATCCAAAATTGCCTTAAATGGTCTAAGCTGTTTTCTTCTTCTCACCGTTCAGAGGTTGTGAACTGCGGCAGAAATTCTAGTTGTTTATCTACCTGTGGACTTTTAGTCTTGTTCCAGAACCTGAGTGTTGCCTGCACATCAATTTTACAGATCTAACATGTTATATGCAGACTGTTGGTTTCTTGCCTCTCAGGCAGATATACTCTGACTTCAAAGCTCCCCCACCCCTCCTTTTTTTTTTTTTTACACCTTTAATTATTCGGCTGTACACATGCTTTTTAGTAAGGAAGTGGGTCTATTCTTGTTTAGCCGACAGTGGGGTCCTTGTACCCCACACAGGGATGCACCATATACAATCTGTTGGTTTCATTGTTAGGTTACAGCACCTTTTGTTTGTTTTTCTCTTCACAGGCTGAGGAAGAATCACTGTTGCCTGAAGCATCTCAAGAAGGGTACCAGTTTCAGCCCGATGCCCAGATACCACAAGAAGGCTTCAAGTTTTGATGAGACCCCACTGACCATGACATGTTGACATTCTACGAAGTAGTGACCGCATCAGAACTGGACGTTACTGACACAGGACACCAAGGAGCAGCTTCTTGAGCCTCCAACACAAACCCTCTCCTTCGATCCGTGTGTGTGTGTCACTGTAGGGAAGAAGACCTCATCACTCTTCCTCCAGCATTCCTTGCTGACTGCTGCCTTCTCAGCAGGTACTGGACCATCTGCTGAGTTTTCCTTTGGGAGCTTCAAGAGCAGGTTGTTCTGCTGCAACTTCAGCAGATACTGGACAGTCTGCAGTTTTCCTTTGGGAGCTTCAGGAGCAGTTGTTCTGCTGCAACTTCAGCAGATACTGGACAGTCTGCAGTTTTCCTTTGGGAGCTTCAAGAGCAGGTTGTTCTGCTGCAACTTCAGCAGATACTGGATCGTCTGCAGTTTTCCTTTGGGAGCTTCAAGAGCAGGTTGTTCTGCTGCAACTTCAGCAGATACTGGATCGTCTGCAGTTTTCCTTTGGGAGCTTCAGGGACAGGTTGTTCTGCTGCAACTTCAGCAGATACTGGACAGTCTGCAGTTTTCCTTTGGGAGCTTCAGGAGCAGTTGTTCTGCTGCAACTTCAGCAGATACTGGACAGTCTGCAGTTTTCCTTTGGGAGCTTCAAGAGCAGGTTGTTCTGCTGCAACTTCAGCAGATACTGGATCGTCTGCAGTTTTCCTTTGGGAGCTTCAGGAGCAGTTCTGCTGCGGCCCCCTCATGGCTTGTCTGCTGCTTCAGACAGCATTCTTCTCAAATCTGCCATCGTGTGTACATCACCCTCAGAATGAGGTCAGTGACGATGAATATTGACAAGAAAGAATGACATGGAAGGACGGCTTCTCGGTCCACACCACAGTGCCCTAATGTCCATAGTTTTATTGTTTAAATTGTGTTCCTGCAGATTGTGTTGGAATCTCCGGCTGGACTGACTGGACGCTGGTCACTATGACAGACGTATCGACGCAGACTTCTCACCATATGGGACATATTTCATGATGAGTGCAAGGCTGCTTGCTTGTGTCCATCCTGTCACTGTTACTGCCTGAATCATGCTGTATTCATTCATTGCTAGGGAACCTGAAATATCATGGAAAATAATTTCACATCTAGTGAGTGGCTCTTTTACAAACAAATGCTTGTGCAAGCTTCTGGATTTTGCCAGTACTGATCTCTTTCACTAGTTTTCAAATTAACAATAAAGGGAATATTTTATGATTTCCACTTGCACGGGAATAGAGCAAAAATGGGGTGACATGTTTGTCTTTAAGTTGGAACCTCAGCTAACTGGAAAAGTAGAACTGTCGCCCATAGAACAGTTTTCAATGGCACACACAGTGAACTGCGGTGCAGTATTGGATCTTATTTGAAAATTAAACATAGGCGTATAATTTTGTTTAAGATCAAATTATTTTATTTCGGTAATGTTTATAAAATAAAAATATGATAGGCTTAGGTTGGCATGTTTTAGGAAGAGGAAACGCAACCTAAAAACTTAATGTTATAACAGGACAAACGAGGCCCTTAGTCTTGGTTGGCAGCTGAGGGAAGCTCTGATTGGCGGAGAGAGAGCACTGCACTTCTGATCTGCAGCATGTTTTGTTCCAAATGTGTTAGTATTGTTACCTTTCCTTTGGAGTAAATAAGGCTGAGAGAGGGATCGTACTGCATGGACAAGACATGGTGTCTACTTTACTGCCCAGGCTTTATACAGTGGAGATGTGGAACTCCATCATTGCTGATCTTAACTGGTCTTGGAAGCAAATAAGAGGCAGCTGGTTTGAATTATAAGTCCTTAATTGGCATGAGCACTTTGATTACAAGCGATGGCCGCAAGAACCAGTTTCCCCTCTGTAATTGTTGAAGAGCTTTCTCAACATCAGAGAGGGATTTTGCTGGTTACACTCTTTATCGCCTCTATTGGCTGTGATTTCCAGTGCTTTCTCTGGCCTGGAGGGACAGGAAGGTGCCAGCGAGCAACAGCTCGGTTGACATGCTGACCCCCCCCCCCCCCCATTCTTATTCGGACTGCTGTCACCTAGAGAAACCGCAAAACTGACACTACCGGTCGGGTCCCCATTTGTCGTAAATGTAACTTTATCTGTCCCAAGGAACACATCCTACATCTATGCCTATCTAGAAGCTGAATGAATGCAAGATGTGCTGATAAAACCTCTTTATTATCTCTTGGGCTACTGATGCTGAACACCCTGGGATTCATAGAGTTATTTGACGCTTCTACAGTGATGTGTTTACAAGATACATAGTTAACACTGTTGGCGGTGTTTGAGCCTGCACACCATTTAGTAGGTCAGGATACCAATATATTTAAATATATTTACCAACGAATAGTATTTAGGAGGGATTGTTTTGCAAACCAGGTGGCTTTGTTAAAGCCATGGGGACTTCCAAGGTTCTCCGTTGCCCAGTGATAAAGGGCGCAGGGTCATGAGTCACCCGCATAAATTTTGTCTAGGCCCCTGGTGAATGAATTCTGTTTATTACTTTATTACTCTGTTGATGTTTTGCTTACCGCCCTTAAATATCTTTATATTTTAAGGCTCCCGAAGAATTGAAAGAAAAAAATTAAAAATAAAATAGATTAGTCACCTGTGTAAAGTGGTTATTTTTAAAAAAGGATTTTTGCAGGAATTCCCACAGATTCAGGACTAATTTTTTTTAGCGTTCCTGGGGTGAAAGGGGTTAAATGGCACACTGAACAGAATATACAAGGAAGGCTGTGGTGACAACGTCACGATTTGAATCTGGCACTTTTGCATTTTTCGGCGATCTCTTGTCATGTACTTCTTAATCCAGGGCAATCTTAACACTTGGGCTCACTGGGCCCTTGCCCCGGGTGCCCCACCAGCATAGGGCCCCCATGATAACCTGTTTGTGTGTCATGTGACTTTGCTGCAATACCATTAGTAAAAATAAAAATATCATGTTAGTGGTTTTCCCAGAGGCCCCATCACACAGGTTTTTCTAGAGGCCCCATCATACTGGTTTTCATAGAGGCCCCATTGCACTGGTTCTCCCAGAGGCCCCGTCACACTGGATTTCATAGAGGCCCCATTACACTGGTTTTCCAGTGTTTGGCTCATAAATAATTTATTTGTGTACTTGATGAATCTACAGTGTCGACTAGGTAAGTGAACAAATGATGGTTGGTATTCTGCTGAGATGCTTGGGGAAATCCTTTTCTAGGTTATATATGTTGGTGTTCGTCCATCACGAGTGATGACCACTTTTCATCCAAAGTAATAATGATCAATGATTATAAGTACGAAAGTGGCTGATTAGTCCAATATGAGCCTGGAAAGTTCTTGAGCGGTGCGGACAACAAACAGATGGAAGGCGCAGTAAGTGTGGATTAGCAGTACGATTCTTTCTAGTCTGCCTCCGTTTCTCTGCCTGGCGAGCCGATGCACCATTCCTAAGGGACGTATGCCATCCAGAACGGTCTTGTGCAGCAGCCTTCCACCTCGCTGTGTTGATGCCAGAAGAATTAAAAGCAGTCTTCAGAGTGTCCTTATAGCCTTTTTTCTGTCCTCCCTGGGACCTCTTCCCTTGCTGGAGCTTGCCTTAAATTACGCTATTTGGGAGGCTGGTTTTATCTAAGCGGAATGGACCCACTACTTAACTAGATCAGATGGTTCTTTGTGTCATGCCTACCACCAGGTTGTGATCCACAGAGAGCCCATGTCATTTGGACACACTGGAAGTTGAGCTAGAGGTCCACCTGCCAGCAGTGGATAGACGGAATTTCTATCCAGCATCCATGTAGCTCATACCAGTTTTGGCACTAGATGCCTCTTAAATCTGACGCTGAAAGGCAGAATAGGGACTAGAGGAAGGAGGTTAAATAAAAAAGGCCTGAATTTCATTGGCTTGTGTAATTGAAGTCACAGAAACATGCAGAAGGCACTGTGAGCTTGCAACGGCACGGCAGTAAATGGATAGGGAATTTACAGGAAACATAGCAGACTACTGTAACTAGCATATTGTTTTACTGCAACTAACAGGGGCAAAGGAATAAAGACAGACATACACAGAGAAGGGAAGTCGATAAAATAAAGGTGATGGTGAGGGCATGGGGTGAGCTGCACGCAGTAGAATGAGTTGGTTGAGGGCCTTTGCTTGTTCTTGGAAAAGGGGGGGGGGGGGGGGGGGGATGAAGAGCAGAAGAGATGGTCTTCTCTTGAATTGTGCAGTGTGATGTTTGCTTGGCCGAATTGTTGAATACAATTGTGCAGTGAGAATAAAACGATCATTTCTGATATCAGGTAGATGACATTTTGTTTTATTTGTTTGTGACCTGTCTGTACAGCTTTTTTGTTTTCCTGACAGTATGCAGAACGTGCACCTGTTTTTTAGGCATGCTTTTTTCAGCACTTCTTCTTCTCTTCCACCTTGTACCTCATCGAAGTGTCGGGGGAGATGTAATGTTCGTTGATAAGCTCTGTCAAGAGCACTATTAAGACTAATGTTCATTTCTGTAAGGCTGTTCTTAATGCCATCACTGCCTCTTTTCTGAGGTCTTCCACTCGCTCTATACCCGTTGTAACGTTTTAGTGTGGCTTACTGTGGCAGATAGTAACAGAGCATTCTTGTTAGGTGTCCAAACCATTTCATTTGTTGTTCTTTGATGACCTGTAAGACTGGCTTTATTCCCAGCATTCGTCTGATTTCATGATTTCGTATTCTGTCTTTCCTTGAAACTCCTGCAGCACTACTAAAATACACTTTGTGGTGAGTACCTGCACCTTTTTTGCCATCAGGAAACAAAAACAGAACCCCCCCCCCCCCCCCCCCCCCCCCCCCCCCCCCCAAAAAGGCCCTACTTGTATTAAGGTAGTATTTGGGACCTTGCCACATAAGTTTTAAAGATAGTAGTGGATGCATTGTAGCCAAGCATCCTTGTGAAGATGGCATGTTCATTTTTTTGTTCTGTTGGGCCATAATGTGTCACATAGGACTTGCCGTTTATTCTCCCATTCCGCTCTATCCTGTGTAATCAGTTCAATATCATGGATGGAAGCCAGTCCAGCAGCTTTGGTCTCTCTCTTCATGTTCGTTTGAGGGTTTCTGCTGGGCGTCCTAGCTTCCTCATATCCTTTATTTCCCATTTTGGTGTCTGTTTGATGATTCTTTGTTCGTTTCTTCTCAGGAGGTGTCCACTGTAGCTCCATCTTTTCCGTTTTATAACTTATTACCAGCGGTTGTCTTAGACATTTCTCTTATTTCTTCAACCCTCTTGAATTCATCCGATTTTATTTTAAGACATTGTTATCAGGAATTGTTATCAAATTCATTTGTGTTGTTCCGTGTTTTTATTGGTTCCCCATCTTTAACTGGCATACAATCATATATGTTATTTGATGTAAAGTGCCAAACATGGTCACTCACAACCAACCGTAAAAGAAAATTAGTAACCACGGAAATGAGATGTCTGAGAAGGGCTGTAGGAGTGACCATAAGAGATGAGATCATAAGAGAACAAGTCGGCACAGAACCAATTCTGGATTACATACAAAGACAGCAAGTGAAATGGTTTGCCCACTTAGAGAGAATGCCTTGTGACACCATACCATACAAAGCATACATGGAAAGAGGAGGAGGACGTAGAGCACGGGGTAGACCAAGAACAAGATGGAAGGATAACATCAGAGAAACTCTACAACAGCACGATGTGCCTATGGTCGAGGCAGCCAGAAGAGCTAGAGACAGAACCTTATATCTCCCTCGACACCTACAGCGGTAAAAGAGGAAGTGAAGAAGAAGAAGATGTAAAACTATAGACTTCCCTAGTTTGTTCAGACTTTTGAAAGCTGTTGATTTCAAGATAGCATAGACTGGTTTCTCCTGATTACCCAAGCAGAATATAGACTGATAACATTAAAGAATAATACATCCACATAGAACATAAAGAAAGAAAGTAATTTTACATCCACATTAATTTTTACACAGCCATTATTTTGCAATTGGTTTCTTTAAAAAACATCTTTTATTGTGTGCGTGTGCACACACTCACAAAATGATCCAAACCTCATTAACACAAATTCTAAAAGAAGCATACAAACAAGAGTTCATTTTAAAAGACTTGCTAACTGGTAATTAATACATATTCAGTAAATCCAGTAACTCGCTTAAGATTAACAATCGGAGAGATGTAAATTTAGTGGTTCCAGCAGGGATATATTATTCATGTTAACAGGATTTCACTGTATTTTGATTACAGGGTCCAACACTACGTTGTCGGTGTGAATACATTATTATTATTATTCTTCATCTTTTGTCCAAAGTGGCGTAATGCCTATTTATAGGCACAGCTGTGATGTTTGCACATTTTGGCCGACGCATCCATCTTCATTGGGTTACCTTTCACGGTCGGTTTTGTAGAACATGACGTACGCAGCCTAATGTGTATGGTATCCTCTGTGCCCCTTTATCTACAGATGTTGCCCCCTAGAGAACCTTGTGAGGCCCTTCTGGCCTCATGCCATGCATACATTATTTATGCACACATTGTTTTAGCAGATAATAGTAGTAGTATTAATAGGCATCATCAACAACATCTTTGTGACAATGTACTCTAAGTATGCCTACTTTTAAAACAATTATAATACTGAATATAATAAATCTTGGTGGAAATCAACAGTATTCTTAGGAAACTTTATCTTCTAAGGAGGCATGTAGTCTGAGGTGAGATAATATTCAAAAAGCTGCCAATTGTATTTATAGGGGTTGTTGATATTTTTGATTGGTTGCGGAAGTTGGTTCCACAGATAGGGGCAGAACATGGGCATTCCTCGTGATCCCAGGAGGCTTCCAATAAATGCAGAGTCGACACATGATGCTCTGTTTTTGGGCTCACTCAAGGAATCGTCACGCCACGGCCTGCACATGACTGCTTAACCTCACATCCGTATTTGAGCTCTGGGCATTCCCATAAGCGCTCCGTCCCCATCTTCAGCAGCCAGTGCAGAGTTCTGATACTAATGGTGCTTAACCTTAAGCCGACACATGATGCTCTGTTCTTGGGCTCACTCAAGGAATGGTCACTCCACACCCTGCACAGTTCAAGGGTCAGTAGGAAGCAGCCTGCAGATCAAAGTTGATTCAAGAACCAACATCACAGCACTCAGGGCATTCCCATAAGCGCTCCATCCCCATCTTCAGCAGTGCAGAGTTCTGATACTAATGGTGCCAGTAGCATTCTGATTAAACAACCGTCTTGCCTTTCCTCTGAGCTCCGACGCCAGAACCCCTCATCACTCCCCGCTGCATCAATCTCACTAGACTGGTGATTGATATGCTTCTCTAGTACACGCTCTCCCACAAGGCACTAACCACGTCTGCCTTATCATGCATCAGTATTCCACCTACAGATTTGAGACTTAGATGACCACACAAATCTTCCTCAGTAGGTTAGACACCTTTAAAGTAGTAGCGTCAGGACACTTAGCTTGACTGTAGTCCAAACACATGCATTAGGCCTGTCTTTCCCTTGGGGGTCCTGAAACTCCATCAAGTGGTGGCGGAAATCTTAATCTTTCTGTCAAACTGTAGGACAACTGATGGTCACACTTCATTCTCTCCATGCCATAATAATCTTCTATCTCATTCTCTACTGATTCCGTTGCTTGTTCCCAAAGGACACTGACCACTTCTGCCTGTCATGTATCAATTCACCACCCCCAAATCTGCCTGTTCATTACCCACTACGCCGGCATGGCCTGGAGAAAAGATCTAAAGTATGCTCACTACCCGTGACCTTTCCAGTGAAGCTTGCCACTCTGCTCAAGGCATCTTAAATGTATTATGATGTCACAATTACCCCCACAGACAAAATCAATTTTCTACCCCAAATATTACCTCAAAATTTTTTTTGGGGGGGGGGGGGGGGGAGAGAGACAATCACACCCATCATGCCTACATACTATACAGCTGCAACCAGTACCACATCCGCATGGTGGCACTTTGTGTCACCCAGTGTTATCGCTCTGTGTGACCTCCTGGTGGGGTAACTTGACTGCCAGTACCAACACTTATATAGCTGTACTGGCCACTACCCAAAGATCTCATGTCATCAAAAACCCTTAAAAGTCAGAAAACTGACTTTTTTTTTTAGGTCACCAGGGTTAAGATATTCTTCAAACAACTACCTTGTCTACACATTTCACTATCATTTATTCTTTCTTCCCTTGCCCCCAGCAGCGAGTTTCACCTTCTCCTGCAAAGCCAGCTTGGTTGCCTTCATGTCCAGCCAGGTTTGGTACATGAGCAGCAGCGGGATAACAACCCAAAGTCCATTGAAGAAGACCAGGTATACCCACAGGTACATGTAGTTACTGGTGTCCAGGTTGGGACTGCCAGTCAGCCATTCAGGACAGAATGTCATCCATCCTGGAGAGTTAAAAACATCAATAACTATTTGAAAATCAAAATTGGTTTCCGCATTTTGAGTATGAACAAAGAAGGCACATTTAAAAAGTTGCACAATTTACTATCTTGCTTTCTGTGTGGGCTCCGAGACCCCATTTCTAAATGGGAATGTGGAGACCAAACCTTCCCCCCCACCACAAGTATGTTACAGAAGGCAACTATAGTATGTTCAACAACTCATAAATACACATGCAAGTGATTTTCTTGAAAACTGCCTGTTAGATCACAATGATTTTTTGCATGCAACCTTAGATTATTCATGATGCAAAAATAGTGGTATTCTTTAGTCCACAGATGCCCAGGATGCTGAAAACTAGCCAAATCATTCATTTATGTTCTACTGAGTTGAGTTAGGCTGAGTCAAGAAAGACATCACAGCACTCCCATAAGTGCCCCATCTTCAGCAGTCAGCGCAGAGTTCCAATACTAATGGTATCGGATGAAGACTTATTATATGTCCATCTTGCCTTTCCTCTGAGTGTAGTGTACTGGCCAGGCCCTCTGGTCACACCCAGGTGCCTCATTCTCTCCAGGCCATTATAATCTATTATTTTTTCTGACTTCATTACTTGTTCCCAAAGTGCCTTGACCACACCTGCCTTGTCATCTATCAATTCACCACCCAGTGGTGCAGATTCAGAGTTGTCGAACGAACTATAATTAGGGATGTTTTCTTCAAAGTTGGAATACATCTGCCTGAGAGGCGAGGAACCAACAGTTTACATTCAAATAAGCCAGATCTGTCAAACAGATGTGCACACAAACCTCAAGTTCCGGAACAAGACCAAAGTCCAGAAGTGAATAAAATAACTAAAACTTTCTGTCCGGGAACACAAAGAAGAAGAAGAAGATTACCTGGCATATTTCACTGTCTCTCATCAAGTGCACACTACAGCGATAACTAAATACAGTGAAGCAAACATTCTAACTCGAACTCAAAATCAACTATACTCAAAAGTAGCTGCTTGCAAATACTGGTTCACGACCATGTCTTTTTGTATGCACAACTAGAATTTCTGAAACCTATGGTGCTATTTCATTGGTTTGAAATTAATTATGTCAATATTCCATAGTGGTGGATTGAAGTTTGTCATACACCTGGCTTACGATGGCACAATTTTTAGGACTGTCAAATGGTCATGCGAATTAGTAAACTTTCTTCTGCAGCTAGGCGCCGTCATCACAGTTCAATTTCCAGGCTTTCAATTTTATGTTGTCTAATGTGTCCTCTTGGCTCTCTATTTTCTTAAATAAGTGCACATCAGTTCCTGTCTGTGTATTAGATGGCAGGTGGCCAATTACATTCAGTATTGCATGCATTTTTGTGATTGCAGTGCCAGCTTTTGTGACCGACCGTTGGGGTCAACAGTGAGCTGCAATCATTAAGTGGGACCGTTGGTGCTGGCACATCTAACAGCTGACATGCATTTTTATTCTGCATGTGCAAGCTTCAAGATTTTGCTGGGACTGATAAGATTTTCACTCGTTTTGAAATGTGACGTTTTGTGCGAATTCCACTGGCATAAGGCTGAAGCAGTTATGGGGCGACTTGTCTGCAGCGATGACAGAACTGCGACTAACGACTCTTTCAATAGCTGAGTTGAGTTGAGTCAAGAACTGACATCACAGCACTTAGGGCATTCCCATATGTGCTCTGTCCTCATTTTGAGCAGCCAGCGCAGAGTTCCGATACTGATGGTACCGGTCACAGTCTGGTTATATGTCTGTCTTGCCTTTTCTCTCAGTGAAGTGAGCCGGCTAGACCCTCTGGTTACACCCAGGTGTCTCATTCTCTCCAGGCCATAATTATCTTCTTTCTCTGCTGATTCCGTTGCTTGTTCAAAAAGGGCCTTGACCACATCTGCCTTGTCATGTATCAATTCAGCACCCAGTGGTGCAGATCCAGCCAATCTGTCTGCCTGTTCATTACCCACTACGCCGGCATAGCCTGGAGAAAAGATCCAAAGTATGCTCACTACCCGGGACCTTTCCAGTGAAGCTTGCCACTCTGCTCAAAGTATCCCTGTCTTCACCTTTGCAATAGCTGACGTACTACAATACAAAGCTTACCTCCATACTGCACATACCAGACAACCATGTCAAGCATGACCATGGAAATAGCCGCTGCTTCTAGAGCACTAGCATGGGCAGCAGAGCAAACATCCGCACAGGCAGTAATTGTATCAGACTCCCTGAACATGCTTCAGAAAATAGCGAAAGGCGTTATGTGCTCTGAATGGGTTGAAAGCATTCGAAAATCGCACTTAACCTCCGTCACCTGGATCTACACACCTAGTTATGCAGGCATAAAGGGAAATGAGCGAGCGAACCAGCTAGCAAGCATTGCACTAAGGCATGTGGGAAGAAGCATAGATAGAGCAGATATCGTCAACACTGTATGGTCTGAGATAGTGGATAATGAAGACTCCCTGACACTAACATATTTGCGTGACATGGGAGTAAAGCGTGGTGAAGCACGTCTATGCCGTCTTCAAGGCCGAGATAAGAGACAATATATATAACCAGCTTCTCATGGGAACAATTAGCAGTAGTACCTTGGAGTGGCTGCTGCATCGGAGGACTGAGCACACAAGGGGATGCCCAATGCGCAGTGATGTCGACTGTGATAACATAATGTAGAACAACATAACACAACATATAAAAACACAACAAAACATAACATAACAAAACATAACAGAAGACAACATAACATAACTTACCTCCATACAACTCACAGACACAGAGTACCAGTTGAGCGTAGTGGCGGTAAAAGCCGTCGGTGACAATCCCTACAATTGTTACTAGGCACAGGATGCCATCAACAACAACAGTGAGAATCTCCAGGGAGACAACTGTTGGATCTGACACCAACCATCTTGAATCTGCTTTCCCATACTCTTTCCCTGAGAAGATTATTTACAATAGTTATCTTATAGAGGATAAACAATTAATTATCTTTTAGAGGATAAACAATTATCTTATAGAGGATAAATGATTGATTATTTTATAGAGGATAAACAATTGATTATCTTATAGACGATAAACAATTAATTATCTTATAGGGGATAAACAATTGATTATCTTATAGACGATAAACAATTAATTATCTTATAGATGATAAACAATTAATTATCTTATAGAGGATAAACAATTATCTTATAGAGGATAAATGATTAATTATTTTATAGAGGATAAACAATTATCTCATAAAGGATAAACAATTAATTATCTTATAAAGGATAAACAAGTAATTATCTTATAGAGGATAAACAAGTAATTATCTTATAGAAGATAAACAATTATCTCAGAAAGGATAAACAATTAATTATCTTATAAAGGATAAACAAGTAATTATCCTATAGAGGATAAACAATTAATTATCTTACAGGGGACAAACAAGATACAATTAATTATCTTATAAAGGATAAACAAATAATTATCTTATAAAGGATAAACAATTAATTATTTTATACAGGACAAACAAATAATTATCTTATAGAGGACAAACAAGTAATTATCTCATAAAAAATAAACAAGTGGTTACCTTACAAAGGACAAACAAGTAATTACTGTATAGAGGACAAACAAGTAATTATCTTCTTTTTCTTTGCATTTATTAGCTATAAACTCCAGCCCAAAGTTCTGGTTGGTCATCCCCTTCTGGAGTTTAGTTTTGCTCCAGAGCTTAAGTTTTGCGTGCACATCCGTTTGACAGATCTGGCTAATTTGTAATTGTAGCATTAAGTATGCATATCGTAATCAGGACACTATAGAAAAGTGACATTCATAAGGAGGTGGCCGCAACTGGAAGCAGCATGTGGTTGGTTAATAAAAGTTGTGTTTAGTCAAGAATTGACATCACAGCACTCTAGGCATTCCCATGCATGCTCTATCCTCATCTTCAGCAGCCAGCGCAGAGTTCCAATACTGATGGTACAGGTCACAATCTGGTTATATGTCCGTCTTGCCTTTCCTCTGAGTGTAGTGAGCCGGCTAGACCTTCAGATTACACCCAGGTGCCTCATTCTCTCCAGGCCACAGAATCTTGTTTCTCTACTGGTTCCGTTGCTTGTTCCCAAAGGGAACAATAATAATAAGAGTTAAGAACAACACTTACAAAGCAAGGCAAGGTCTGAAGTTGAGGAGTTGACAGTGCCCACAAGTGACAGCGCAACAAAGGGGCCTTCCTGTGGGATGACAACAATTTAAAACATCAACGTAGGGGCATAGTTTAACTCACACTTTGTATATCATTGATATCGAGTTGAAAATCTCTCAAGTTCATATGTATATATATATATTTGTTTATATCATGTAGCAGGTCCTTTGCAGAACGTCGCTCAAATCACGGTCTGCCTGAAAGAAACTCAGTCTCTCGCCAGCTCTCCCGCCTCGTTTACTTTCATATTTAAGGAGTCACTTATATCCTGTGCCTATCTTCATGTTGGTCGGCCCCTGCCCCTCCTTTCTGGTACCATGCCATCTGCTATTATTTTTTCTTATCTGCCATGCCATATGACTAAAGTATTTCAGATTTCAGCTTTTAAGTCAAGATACTGTTTATTAGCCAATCTTCCATATGTTCAGATTTTTTTAAATGTCAGTATTTCTTCTATGCTTTGTCCATGGTATGTATATATACATATACATAAACACATCTGTATATATCTGCTGGGGACTGCTAGATATTATCTCCCCATGATTTTCTTGGTCGGCCTCGTGGTCTACTTTGTCTCATGCTATCCCTCCAACCACCTTGAGGTTTGAACAATGGATCAACATCATGCCACACAGGTATTAACCCATAAGTGCTCCGTTCTCTTCTAACTTAAGTCTTAGTCCGGCGAGGATCCTGAAATACTTTTGGGTAGATTTTTAACTCAAAATGTTTACCGGGGCAGCACCATTAGGCTACTCTTTTCGATTTCCAACTGCCAAGGGATTTTTTACGTGGGCAACAATGCACACGGGCGTCCGATCTCACTACCCAGAGACTAGAGGGAATTACTAGAAGTTCAAGTTCACATGAAAAAAATCCCAGTCCTTACCAGGGATTGAACCCGGTACTTCTAGGTCTCGAGGTGGACACCATACCTTGAGACTATGCAGCCCCTCTCCCACCACCTGCACTTTCCTAACCAAGGTGGCATTTATATCCTGTGCCCATCTTCATGACGGTCGAACCACGCTCATCTTTCCAAGCACCACACCTTCTGCTAGTATTCTTTCCAATCTGCCGTGGAGCTTGGTGGTGGCCAATAAATTTCAGTTTCTGAAACAAGATGCTGTTTACTGGCACTCTTCCGAATACCGGTCCCAAATTATTCACTGCGAAAAACATCCCGTTGGGAGCGTCAAGAGGTTATGTACTGTAGTAACAACATTTAGGCCCCCATCATCAGTTTCCACTTCTGCCGTTATAGCACGAAGGATAGCAATGTTTAGACGTTAAGCTAAGCGCAGTAGGGAGGAATAGTTCTCGATCCATTTAAGTATTGTAAGGAAGAATGAATTTTGATCCAATGTTGAAGCGTTGTGGGGAGGAGTAGTTTTCAATGCATTATAGCGATATGGAAGTGGGGGGGGGGGATAGTTTTTGAACCATTGTTTACAGTAACTGGGATCCACGGCCCTGTGGGATCCAGGGCCACATATTTGAGAAAAAAAAATATTTTTCGCAGTGAATAATTTGGGACCGGTATTCGGAAGAGTGCCCTGTCTACTAGCCAAACGTCCTTAATACTCTGCTTTCCCTGCTGGTGCTTAGCCATAGACTTGTAATGCTGTTCAATCTTTGCACTGCTATGGCCATCCTGATTTTAACTTCTGTTTAATAATCTCCATCGCTGTTTATTATGGAGCCTATATATTCATAGTTAATTACATTTTCCCAATGTCTTCATGATTTGTGTGTGTGTGGTAACAGCCAGTTTTTGTCTGCTATGGACATAATTTTTATATTGTAATTCAAGAAATTGAAGAAAAGGTTCCTAGCAAAACAACAAACATCTAAAAAGATATGTTTTTAAAGTAGACGTTAGTGGGCAAGTTATTTTATGTTGTTGTTATTGTTTTTTTTCTTTTCAAAATAACAAACGATCTTACCAGAAGGAAATGAATGAGGGCGTCGAAGACCAGCCAAGACACAACCCATTTCTCCACAGTTGGTAACCGCCTACCTAGTAGAACATGGCCACATCCTAGGGCTATCAAAGCTATAATGGCGGTAGCTAGCAATGAAACTACCGTGACTGTGTTGACAACAAAAACCATGTTGACTTGAAGTAAAGCTGATCTTTATTCTCAATTCTAGAAGACAAATTTAATGAAGAGAAAGATTTAACGTTGGCTGGGGTTACTCTGTACCCGGGACGTCTAGCCGCCCAGTGATTAAACCGGAAGCGGAAGTTTAGAGTTACTGGTAGATATAGCCCAAATGTCGCACAAAATCGCAGATTTACATTTTTCATCGGATGGAAGGTATCTTATGTTTGCCTTTTAAAAAAGGAAAAGTTTTGTTGTGGTTTATAGCTAGGCTGTGATATCTTTGCTTATGGGCCGACACATCCGATTTCAGTTAATCTTTTAGGTGCCGTTTCTCGATGAAGGATAACTGCAACAGATCTCCAACACACTGTGTCTATAGTTGAGTGGTATTCGTCCATCTCTTGATGTTATGTTCCCACTTGTATCGCTATCTGTCTCTTGCTCACGTACCTTTAACTTCCCTCCAGTACATTGTTTAAAAATATTGTAAATATACGATTTCCAAATATTCTTAATTTTTCGCTATCTGCGACATGCTTTTTAGTAGCCTTTTAGTTCTATTCTTTTTCTTCTTCAAAATTGTATCGCCGAAATCACATTCGGAGTTTAAAAACAATTTTGAAGGAAATACTGAGGTTATAAAATCAAAACAGGAAAATAATGATATAGAAGAAATGAAATAAATCGGGATGAAAGGCCAAGTTTAATACAGTGGTGCAATCACTATATCCTAAAGCCTAAAATGGGTACCAGTATGTATGTCCTGGGGAAGTAAAGACAGCCGGCGTAATGCTGACCACATTAGCCAACTAGTGCCCATTGGTCTGTAAAATATGGTGCTCTTCCCATATGCCCGATGCGCCAAGAGGGATCTTTACATACTTTACTTTTTACTATCTCCACAAGGAAGGTTGGCTCCAGTGGATCTCCAATACGTTATGAATCTTCTCCTGGTTTTACACTCTGTCCTACAGCTTTTTGTCACTCTCTTGATGTTGTCATTTTTCTTGTATCACTGTCTACCTCTTGCTCTCCCCCCCCCCCCCCCACCCCAGTATCATTTCTAAACAAGTTTTTTTTTGGTCTTTTAATTTGGCCAAAATATTTCAATTGTATCTTTTTAAAAATTTATTTCAGTAATTCTTATTTTTTTCATTCGTAGTCTTTCCAGAACCTCTGTGTTTGATTGTTTTTTTTTTTTTGTTTTTTTTTTTTTGTTTCTATGAAATACGACCTATTCTTTTGTATATCAGGAATTGCAGAAACGCAATACGATTTTCTAGTTGGTTATTCATTGTTCAAATTTATGCACCATACAGCAGGGTTAAGTTTACATAATTTTTTACAATTCTCATTCTTAATTTGTTTATGTGTCTACAATAATTTTTGCATCTTATTGAAGATACTTCTCATAGAAGTACCAGGTTGAAGGGACGCATCTCCGTGTTTATCTATAATGATAACAATCGAACGTATGTTAAGAAGTCAGGTTTGCACTGTCTGAATTTAAAAGTAATGCATTGTTACTCTCTAGATAGACCAGGCGAAATTATTAAAATTTTGTTTTCCACCAGCCTACCATATTTGGCTTTAAGTTGCCAGGCGCAGTAAAAGGCAACAGATGCGACATTGATATAACTACAATTTTATATTATCTAGTGCGTAAACCGATCTCCACTTCGTTTACGGCCTCGCTATAAGTGCCGATCAATACGTTTAAATGTAAGTGCTTTCTACAACACCACCAATGCCCGGGGAGGAGGGGGTGGGGGCCTTAAACTTTTGGTTTATTTACCTTAAACCATCATCTTTTTTCCAACACAGTTAGCCTTTATATACGCCCCCACTTCCCCCTTCCCCACCATCATAAAAGTGTCACGAGACTGAGCTGCCCCTGGACAAACCAGTGTTCTGCGGCCCCTTTAACAACCACTCACGGGAATGAAAAGTAAAAGGTTGATAACATTTACACATTAGCATGGGGCTCCCTAAGCTCATGGGGATCTGAATAATAATAGAAAAGTAAAGATCCCTTTTCCAAACTATCCTATATTTTTATAGACCAAGAGGAGGTACCCATTTAAGGCTAATCGTCATTTGTGAACATGTAAAAACATCCCACTTTCTCGTGACCATTTTGTGAAATATTTTGAGAGCATGTATCATACATCAAGAGTCGCCTCTCAGTCAACGGATTTTTGGCTGAAAATAGAAAGATTATCAGACAAAGAAGGCATACTACATCTTTAAGATCTGAAGGGAAGATTAGGAATAAACAGCAGGGAGGTGAAATATTTTGGTCATATCGAAGCGCGACACAAAAAAAATGGGGCACAGGATATACCGACACCAAAAAATGTGTGACTCCTTGAGTTTGAAAGTACATGAGGCGGGAGAACTGGCGAGAGACAGAGTTTCTTTCAGGCAGACGGCGATGAGAGCGACGTTCTGCAAAGGACCTACTACATGATGATGATGATTCAAGAAGTGTGAAATAACTTAAAAAGTGCCCAGAACGCCCAAGAGATAGATAGAAATGACCTGCACAAACACAACCGATCGTTTCGACCAAAGTCTTTATCAACGGAATACGAAATACAACACAAACTTGATTTCAATCACCCCTGTTTATCCAACTTGTTGTTGCATTTCGTTACAACTAGAATTTAGAAGATCAATTTGAAACCACCCATGAATTATTTGTGTTGCCACAGATACGAGCATTGTTTACCATCTACGAAATTCTAACACGCACCAGCATAGATTCTGGCTTCTATAGTTGCTAAAGAATCGTGAAAGGGGGGAAATTCGAACATTTATAAGTATGGACTCTGGCTGCTAGAGTTGCTATGGAATCGCAAAACGTCCGTAAATTCCCTGCGTATACATGTATGGATTCTTGTGTCCTCACTTACCAGCAACTCGCAAAACATACGGTTCTATCGACGAGCGATGCTCGTGTTAAAATATTCAATAGCATGACATTTTAAAAGGGATATTTATGACTTCCTGTAGAGCACAGTGAAATACAGAATCTAGATATATGTACAGTAGACTTGTTGCAACCGTTGAGAATTAAACATCTAGTGTTTTTCTGGCATTGTAAATTTCTTCTTTGAGCCGTGTGGTTATATTTTGTGAGTATATTTTATCTGTCGCTTGCCTTTCTAACGAGGTCGCTAAGGTTTGATGGGAATAAAATAAATGTGACATGATTAACCCGTTTTTATTGCAGAAAGACAACTATGAGACCACTATGGTCGCAACCCTGTGACTTGCAGGGCCCTAATGGTAAAGGGGCGAGTGGAGTAGATCCACAGTGAAGGGTAACCTATAGGATTGTTTTCTTTGAATTCGGAGTGCCTCTTCTTGAACGGCGAGGGACCAACAGTCTGCATTAAAAAAAGCCAGACCTGTGAACGCAAAACTCAAGTTCTGGAACACGACTAAAGTGAAAAAGTAGACGAACAAGCAGAGTTTTCTGTCAGAGTTGACAGCTGTGAACGGGAAGTATTAGTAGTAGTAGCAGCAGCAACAGTAGTAGTAGTAGTGGTAGCAGCAGCAGCAGCAGCAGTAGTAGTAGTAGTAGTTGCAGTAGTAGTAGTAGTAGTAGTAGTAGTAGGAGTAGTAGGAGTAGTAGTAGTAGTAGTAGTAGTAGTAGTAGTAGTAGTAGTAGTAGTAGTAGTAGTAGTAGTAGTAGTTACAGTAGTAGGAGTAGGAGCAGCAACAGGATAAGGAGAAGTAATAGTAGTAGTAGTAGTAGTAGTAGTAGTAGTAGTAGTAGTAGTAGTAGTAGTAGTAGTAGTAATAGTAGTAGTAGTAGTAGTAGAGGAGTAGTAGTAGTAGAAGGAGAGGAAGAAGGAAAAGAAGAAGAAGAGACGAAGGAACGGAACGGAGGAATAGACTTTGTAACATATAATGGAATCACATGATGATGGTGGTGGTCGAGGTGATGAGGATGAATCTTATGTTGTTGTCGATGAAGATGATTTTGATGATAATAGTAATGGTGACAATGATGATGATGAAGATGAGATGATACTTATTTTGATGATGATGATGATAATGATGATGATGATGATGTTGCTGATGATGTTGATGATGATAATGATGACAATGATGATGATGATAATGATAATAATGATGATGATGATGATGACGATGATGATGATGATGATCATGATGATGATGATAATGATAATAATAATGATGATGATGATGATGATAATGATGATGATGATGATGATGTTGATGATGATAATGATGACAATGATGATGATGATGATGATGATGATGATGATGATGATGATGATGATGATGATGATGATAATGATGATAATAATGATGATGATGATGATAATGATGATAATGATGATGATGATGATGATGATGATGATGATATAAGTTATAACTGTTGACATGTTCTAAATTAAAACCTACAAGCTCACAATGTAAGTCACCGGGTCCCACTGACTGTTCTATTTTCATTATCTTTTCATAAACTTTAATTAGCATACATCGCTAGGTATAGGTAGACAATTAGACAGACAAACATACAGACAGAAAGGTAGGCAGTCAGACAGACACAGACAGAGGAGCGGGTTGACTAACGAATAGAAGTTAGACAGACACATACAGAGGGTCAAGTAGACGAAAGAATGGGAGTTAGACATACACATACAGAGGGGCAAGTAGATGAACGAATGGGAGTTAGATTGACACAGACAGAGGGGCAAGTAGATGAACGAATGGGAGTTAGACAGACATAAGAGTGGCGGGTAGACGAACGAATGGGAGTTAGACAGACACAGATAAAAAGGCAAGTAGATGAACGAATGGGAGTTAGACAGACACAGATAAAGGGGCAAGTAGGTGAACGAATGGGAGTTAGACAGACAGAGATAAAGGGGCAAGTAGATGAACGAATGGGAGTTAGACAGACACAGACAGAGGAGCGAGTAGACGAACGTATGGGTGGATAGATGAAAAAAAGTAGACGTGAAGAA